TGCTTGAATTTTCCCTTCGTGTCTAAAAAGCTGATTTCTGCAATCTAAGTGAATTCTAAGTTTCAATTTCATTACTTTACTTGCTATTGCTTTAAGAACGATTGTTATCCTTATCCTTCATTTGTTAGCCATCACCCCAAGCCCCGTTACAACCCTTAACTTCATCTTGAGTGTCATGCGTTTCAATATGTGGAGTTTGAATTTGGTATGAGCATATGGTGTCACTGGTTCTCGCATCTAAGTAGTAGCATTCCATTCATGAGATCATATCTAAACTTGCTTATTAACTCCAGAAATTGCTTTCTTTGTGATACATATATGTGAGCGTTCGTTTTCATATCTACATCAATCTTCTCACATATAACTAGTATAGGGTGTGTAGTTAGAAAATCTGAGTGAAAATTGAGTGCATACTTTGAAAGGAATTGAGTAAATTCTCTAAGGCATGTTACTACATCAAAAACATTGTTTTAATCGATTAATTATGAACAAGTAAGTAGTGACTATGATTAAGTACATGTTTAAGTGTGAAGATGATTCAAATCTGTGGGGATAATGATTTTTAACATGTCATATGCATTGGAATCCCTGAGGCAAATGTTGGAAGGTTTAGGTTGTATTTTATTTGTTTTGTTTCGTTTTATTTCTTTGTTTGCTCGAGGACTAGCAAAAGCTAAGTGTTGGGGAATTTGATAGGAGCATATTTATGCGACTTAGTTAGCTTGTTCTTGTGCATTTATGTTGTATTTCCTTAGTTATTTTAGTGTCAAAGTTATTTTTGTGTGTTTTCAGACTCTAAGTACAAAGTATGCAAGAAGATGCATTTTGGAGGCCTTTGGAGCATGTTTCGGGCTTGGAATGGATAGCAAATGCATGGGCCAAGTGGATGGACGAATTTGAGAACTAAAGAGGCCAAGATGAAGAATTATGGTCCAAAAGATGAAGAAAACAGCCCAAAAATCTGTCACCCCAACTTGCATTCCTTGCCATGCAAACCACATAGAATTCCCTTTGGATTCCATGCCATGCTTGATCACTCTTGTCCCCTACATAATTTCTAATTTCATGCTTCAATTCATTTAATTATTACACTCAATTGCTTGATACCTCTTGTTCCCTTCACTCATTAGATTTTAGACAACATTTACATCCATTACATGCACCAATTGATGCTCCATCATTCACATTTGGAATCCAATGCCATGTGCAACACATGTTGTTGCACCTTTGACCCATTTGTTGACACATTTCACCTCCATTTCCATCTCTATGCAATGTACACAATCATTCCATGCTCCCTAGCTACAACACCACTCCATTTTACCCTTCACACTTTGCATCATTACTTCATTTTTACCCTTGGACCATTGCACACCACACACACAAATTGCCATGCATTTCATCCTTAACCTAACCTGATTTTCTAAGGTTTTTGGGGCCTATAAATACATGTTTACACCCCTTGGCCAGAGGACAATCCCCCATATTCATCATTTTATCACAAAAATTCGTCCATACACACCCTAGGAAGCAAAACACCCCAAAAACACCATTCTAGTGCCTAGAAAACATAACAGCCACTCCACCTTCTTCCACCCTCTTTGCCTAGTTCTCCACCACCCTCCAACCCTCAAACACTCCTCCACACTTACCCTAAACCTTTCCATACCATTCCCCATCCATTCTACATCATAAAACTACCCAAAAATCCGTCCACAAAGCAATCTGCCGCAAGCAAGCAAAGGAGAATTCTTGGATGCACTTGCTACCCAAGTTGGAGCATTTTAGGTGTTTTCTTTCCTTTGATTTTAATGTCTAATTTTATGTATCTTTGCTTTGTGAGTATGAGGAACTAAACCCCTCTTAGTTAGGGGGTGATTCGAAACCATGTTCATACTTGCAATATGATTTGATTACATCCAGTTGTGATTCATAAGTTGTGAATTCAATTTACTTATCCGATCGTATAAAAAATGATTTGTGTATGTTGGTTGAGAGTGCACGCTTAATTTTCATGCATGAATTTAACGCTAGAATATAAGGGAGTTTCACCTAATCGTTATGAACTTATATTCACAAGTAGTGAAGGTTGCTAGTCACAATCACATTAAGTAAATTCTTGGCATAAGTTTCATGCAAATCATAGTAACGAGTGCCTCGTCAATGCTTATGTTTTTCATAGAACTTAATGATTCTTGCTTGTATCTCTATTATGCAATTCATATAGGGAACTTGTAGGGAATGTTTTGGGTTGTCGTATGCAATCATCCAATCCAATAACTTGTGGAAAAACAGAGGGTTATTAGTCCAATAACTTATAAAAGTTGCTACTCCTGAAACCGTGGTAGCATATATAGCAGGGGCCTTGTCTGAAATCAAGCATGGCATGCATCATGCATTTGCCAAGTTGAATGTCCATGTTCCGGCCAAATCCAAGTAAGTTTACAAGTTTAGAACACTAGCTAACTGGACCACAAAGCAATATGGAAATTTGGTATTTAATTTTACAAAACTTATTGACGAATGAGAGGCTTTGAGATTAGTTTTATAGTTCAAAACTTATTGACGAGTGAGAGGCTTTGAGGTTAGTAGATCACCACAATGTGCCTTTTTTTGTACACCCAAGTTTTAATCCGTCTCTATCAAGTCAAGGAAAATTTAGGTATGCTAAATCAAAGTAAATTTAAGTATTATTTACCAAAAAAAAAGAAGAAGGTAAGTTTGGGTATTTGAATTGAATTTCTCCAAATCAAGTAAATCTCAATAAATGCCCTTTACGTTTAGAGGATTTCTCGAGTTGGAGTTGGAGCTGGAGCCCAAGTAGGAAATTCCTGGTGCCAAAGCCTAGTTACCACCTCTCTAATTACGTACCATATATATTAGCATATATGTGAATTTATAAATGTATGTAAGATAAAAAAAATTCGAATTATTTTTATAAATGATAGATAGATTAAATTTGTCAAAAATTTTATTATGTTTCGTGCATAATATTTGCTAGACAATAGATGATTAAAGATCGTTGCTTTTTTTATTTTGTCGAAAGTCTAAAGAAATTGTAACAGCCCGTCCCGTATTAACGTTTTTATAAGTGTGAAGTTTGTTTAATTATCCTAGTTTTTAAGAGTGGACGTTTTGTCTGTGTGTTTGTTTGAAAATGACTTATGGACTATACACTCAGACACACTCATTATTCATTATTCCTTCCCGTGATTCCCTCAAACACTCACACTCTCTCTCTCCCGTCAAGCTCTCTCTCACTCTCTCTCTCTTTCTACACTCACGGCAAAACAACAAGGATCTTCAAATCTTCACAGATCGAAGAAACAAAGACCACCATCGTCTTCATCTCGTCGATACGAATTCATCCATACCCATTTCAGGTAAGAACTTCAACGCTTTCACGTCGAACAACTCACCTCCGAGTTTGACACTATTCATCAACTTTGTATTGGTTGATTTTTAGGGGTTTTTAAGCTCATAGGGAGCTTAAGGAGGTTCTTAGGAAGCTCGGAATGCTTCGTTGGAAGTTTTTGGAAGTAAAAACACAGAGATCGGAAAGTTCAATGTTTGGTCGGAACTTTCGAGGCGTTTTCCGGCCAAACCACGGAGAGTTAGACGTCGTGCGAGGTACCATTCTCTTCATCTATTCGAGAACTACAACTTTCGTTTTTGTTTCACCCAATTTCGTTGAGTATTAAAGAAGTTATACTTATTTGAATCTTACCCAGTTTCCGGCGAGTCCGATGGCTTTCGAGGCTTTTTCCGGTGAATTCCCGGCGATTTAAGGGTCGAGACAGGTATAGATTTGTTCGTCTCTTCAATATCTTCATTTTGATATAAAGAACGTTGAAAATGGTGAAGAAATGAAGAAGTTATGGCAATTTGAAAAACTGCCCAGAAACTGGCGAAACCAGTCCGGCGAGCTGAGGAAGAGAAGACGCGCGTGGGGGCGCGTAGGTCAGTGCCACCCACGGCGCGTGGGGGCGCGTGTAGGGTTCAAAAAATATTTCTAAAAAATATGTCGACGTCCGTGACGTCGTGTAGATCACCGTGGTATATTCACATACCCAAATTGAGCAACGTATAAGAAAGTTATTGATGAATGTTTGTGTATGTGCGTTTAAATGATGTTTTATAATTATTTTTGTATAGGTGAAAATTTTACGGACGAAGAACGTAACCAAAATAGGCGAGGGGGTTACGAACCGGCTACTTATCAGTGAGTGGGCAGTTTTGTTTTCCGTATACATATATACTATTGAGTCTTCCCAGAAATTGAATTTAAATGAAAGCATGATTTAAAATGCCATGGATAGAATTATATGAAAAGTATGATTTGAAATGCCATGCATAGAAGTATATGAAAAGCATGAATTGATATATGATGCATATATATATGTGAATTGGTGCTGTGGACGCACAGGTAAGTATCAGGTGAGTTTTATATTATTCATGTGCATTGTTGATGTGTATATTGTGGATAGCTCATAACCTGCAATCATGGTGTTAGTGCTTATATTATTCACCACACCGCACGTTCGTCTTGGATCCAAGTAGGTGGATGTCGTACAGACCAAGTGAGGGTTCCGACATGCTAGTCGTATAGATTACTAGATGTGATTCCGACTAGTGGGTGACCTTAGATTATGTGCACAGATGATTGATGAGAAGCACTAGAGCGTATCATTACACCATTCATGTCGTACAGACTACTTCAGGTAGTTCCGACTTATCTGCAGTGTAGTGTCGTACAGGTCACCGAGGTGACTCCGGTTGGATTGGATGTTGAGCTATAGAATTAACCATACAGGACCAACTGCAGGGTTTCCGGTTAATTCACTATTTCACCTGTTACATTGATGCATCATTTATTTTGTTTTCGAAATTAAAACATGGCATACTTTCGGGTTTTAAAGAAAAATTGATGATTCGAGATTTATGAAAAGTATTATGTTATTATATTATTTTCTGGGAAAAGTATACAGGTTTTACAGTGAGGGGTTAGAATTATATTATTTTCTGGGAAAAGTATACAGGTTTTACAGTGAGGGGTTAGAATTATTTTTGGCGAAATGTTTTTGAAAAGCTTGGTTTTACTGACCCACTCAATTTTGTTTTTCGCCCCTCCAGGTTCTTGATAGCAGAGTTTTGGTGGCCACGAGGAATCCAACGGTATTCTGACAGAATTCACAAAAGTAGGACTCACCCTCGAGGGTTTCCATTTTAATAATTGTATTTTTAAAAGCTTCCGAACTGTGTAAATGGTTACGTCACTCTCATGTGACGGCCAGCATGCCCTCCTTCGGGACGGGGTGTGTCAGAAATCGACGGTGTAAAAATTGGTGCATATAATCGAAAATCCTAATCATATATATATATTTTTTTGAGGAAACCTAATCATATGAATATATTGAAAGAAAAAAAATCATATGAATATATTGAAAGAAAAAAAATCATACGAATATAAAGTACAAATGAAGGGAAATGAATGCGCCAATGTAACATTGCCTGTTCAGTATTGAAAAAAGTTGATTTGTGGCCCCGCAACAAGAACAAAATAAAGATATAAATTTAAACCAAATCCTTGGTTCCCAAGCAAACAGAGAAATATAAGAAGAGAGAAATTCATCGAGAGAGCAAAGAGAGTAACTATACAACTAAATTATTCAATTTGAATTTGAGCTGCTGCAATGAACACGATGATGACGAAGCCCGTGGTGCGAGTGAACATTGTTGTGCGGAAGCGGTATACGACTGTAAGTGAATAGTTAAACAGAACAGAATAAAACCACTATCAACAAGAACACCAAGATTTATACTGGTTCGGCAATGCCTACATCCAGTTTGGAGACGACGGAGTATTCCACTATAATCAATGAGAACATACAATAGTGTTTATCACTCAATTTCCCAAAGACCCAAATAACCCAAGCTCTCACACTTACAATAGGAAGAGAAAACCAAAAATACAAAGCAAGACAATTTGAGAAAATTCTTCTCTATGCCGAATGGCTTCTTGCTATTTTTCTCTCTTCCTTGTTCTCCTCTTGTCTCTACTCCATGCTTATGAGCTTCACCTTGCTCTCCTTTTATAGCCAAAGAAAAGCTTCTCAAAGACATCAATGGCCAAAGGCCTACCATCAAGTCAAAAGAGTTAGGCACAAATTAGGCACAAATGTTGTTTGCCTCCCATTACCACAAAGTAGCCCAAAGATTTGGACTTTGACTACATGTTTGAGTCAATAATCAACAATCTCCACCTTGGCTCAAACCCTCTAAGTAGAACTCCTAATAGTCGTCTCCCAATCCCCCATGGAGCAATCAACAAATTTTACAAATGCCAATCAAGTCTAAGCAGTGCTTAAACTTGTGCAATGAAACTGGCTTTGTTAACATATCCGCAGGATTGTCAGCGGTCCCAATCTTCTGAAGAAGAATATCTCCCTCGTCAATAACCTCACGAACAAACTGGAACCTCACATCAATGTGTTTCGTACGTGCATGATGAACTTGATTCTTTGCTAAATGAATAGCACTCTGACTGTCGCAATGAACATCCACATGGTCTTGTTGAACCCCTAAGTCATCAAGCAACCCTTGAAGCCAGATGGCTTCCTTATAGCTTCTGTCACAGCCATGTATTCTGCCTCAGTAGTCGACAAAGCAACTGTAGATTGCAGAATCGACCTCCAACTTACTGGACCTCCAGCAATAGTGAATACAAAACCAGTAGTGGACCTACGCTTGTCCAAATCACCTGCGTAATCAGAATCCACATATCCAACAACACATTTACCAGTAACTTTATCCTGCTGGAACAATAAACCAACATCCACAGTACCCAGAATATACCGTAGAATCCATTTCACAGCTTGCCAATGCCCTTTTCCTGGATTATGCATATATCTATTGACAATACTAACAGCTTGTGAAATATCAGGCCTAGTACACACCATAGCATACATCAAACTACCAACAACATTTGCATAAGGAATTTGAGCCATGTACTGACTCTCTTCAACAGTTTTAGGAGACATAGAAGCGCTAAGTTTGAAATGAGAGGCAAGAGGTGTACTAACCGGTTTTGAATTTTCATTCATCCTGAAACGTTGTAGTACCTTCTTCAAATACTGCTTCTGACACAGACTAATCTTGCCCTTCGCTCTATCTCTTTCAATTTCCATACCTAGTATCTTCCGAGCTTCTCCCAAGTCCTTCATCTCAAATTCATTACTTAGTTGAGTCTTCAACCTTTCAATCTCCACTTTGCTCTTACATGCTATAAGCATATCATCAACATATAAAAGCAGATAAATGAAGGTTCCATCTTGTAGTTTGCGAAAGTATACACAATGGTCATAATGACTTCTTGTGTACTTTTGCCCGATCATAAATCCATCAAATCGCTTGTACCATTGTCTTGGAGACTGCTTCAAGCCATACAATGATTTTTCCAATTTGCAAACCCAATTTTCCTTTCCAGCAACCTTAAAACCTTCTGGCTGAGACATATAAATCTCTTCCTCCAAATCACCATGTAAGAACGCAGTCTTGACATCAAGTTGGGCCAACTCAAGGTCAAACTGCACAACCAAAGCCAACAAAATACGAATAGAAGAATGTTTTACTACAGGAGAAAATACCTCATTGTAGTCAATGCCTTCCTTCTGAGCGTAGCCTTTAGCTACCAATCTGGCTTTGAATCTTACATTGTCTTTTCCCAAAGATTCCATCTTTTTGGCATACACCCATTTACAACCAATTGCCTTCTTCCCCTTTGGTAACTGAACCAGATTCCAAGTCACATTTTTATGAAGAGATTTCATCTCCTCATCCATAGATTTCTTCCACAACTCGCACTCTGAACTCATGACAGCTTCTTTGTAGGCGGATGGAATATCATCTTCAATAACAGGAAGTGCATATGCCACAATATCAGTAAATCGAGCAGGCTTTCGAATTTCCCTTCTCGATCTTCTGGTTGCAATATAGTCTTGTTGCTGTGGAGGCTCTTGGGTAAGTGCTTCCTCTTCATCAGAATTAACTGTAGGACTAGTGGTTGTAACATCAGACCTTACTGGAACAACTGGAGTCTTCAGTAACTCCACCTGCTTTGAGCTACTCATGGTCTCGGTCACTTCAGTTTCACCTTCATGCTTGTTCTGATTAACCATAGCAGCCTCATCAAAAGTCACATCTCTGCTTACAACAAATTTCTTCTCATCTGGATACCAGAGTCGGTATCCCTTCACGCCAGTGCTAAAGCCCATAAATAGAGCTTTCTTTGCTCTTGGATCCAACTTGCTTTCTCTGACATAATAGTAGGCAGAACAACCAAATATGTGTAAAAACTTGTAATCAGTACAAGGTTTACCAGACCATACCTCCATGGGCGTTTTGCCCTCATTCGCAGCAGCTGGCAATCGATTAATGAGATGGCTTGCATAAGTGATTGCCTCAGCCCAAAATGCCTTGCCTAATCCAGCATTAGACAACATACACCGAACTTTCTCAAGCAAAGTACGGTTCATGCGCTCCGCCACCCCATTCTGTTGCAGTGTCTCCCTAACCGTGAAGTGCCTCATAATACCCTCATCTTGACAAACTTTCAAGAAAGGATCAGACTTATATTCACCCCCATTGTCTGATCTGAGAGTCTTGATCTTTCGACCGTTTTGCGTTTCAATCATCTTTTTCCACTTCAGGAATATCTTCAAGACTTCATCTTTACGCTTCATGGTGTACACCCATATTCTTCTAGAGAAGTCATCAACAAAGGAGACAAAATAATGGCTACCTCCCCAAGATGCATTCTTGGAAGGTCCCCAAACATCAGTGTGAACATAATCAAGAATGCCTTTAGTGTGGTGAATAGCAGTGCCAAATTTTACTCTAGTTTGCTTACCCAACACACAATGCTCACAGAATTCCAATTTGCATGCCTTTGCACCTTTCAATAAGCCTTGCTTCACCAATCCTTGCAACGCTTTTTCACCAGCATGCCCAAGACGCATATGCCATAACCTCGTGGTGTCTGTGCTATATGCGTCAGCAGCTTCGGTAACAGCTGCTCCACCAATAACTGTACTCCCCTGCAAGAAATACAAGTTATTTCGTCTTGTACCTTTCATCACCACCAGTGCCCCGTACACAGCTTTTAGAACTCCACCCTCCATGGTGATCTTGAGACCTTTGGATTCCAATGCACCCAGTGAGATGAGATTTTTCTTCATATCCGGTACATACCGAACATCACTTAATTCTCTGACTGTTCCATCATGCATCTTCAAACAGATTTTGCCTATCCCTTGTGTTTTGCAGGCATTATTATTACCCATCAAAACAACTCCACCATCCAGCTCCTCGAGATTATAAAACCATTCCCGAATGGGACACATATGATAGGTGCAACCTGAATCTAAAATCCACTCATTGGAGTGACCATCAGCATATGAACTAGCCAAAGCAAACTCGAAATCATCATCTCCAGATTTTACAATATTTGCTTCAGAACCCGCTTTCTCCTTCTCTTTGTTCTTCAATTTGGGGCAGTCTTTCTTCCAATGACCCTTTTGGCGACAAAAAGCACATTCATCTTTAGCAGGAAACTTCCCTCGTGACTTTGAACGAGATTTTCCCCGCTTCCCAGATTTTCTTTCCTCTGTTCGACCCCTTGCAACAAATGCCTCGGTTTGTGAATTATGAGTCTTCAGTTCCTTCTTACGACACTCATGATTCACCAATGCCGCAGACACCTCATCAAGTTTCACCTCGGATTTTCCATACAACAGAGTAGTTGTCAAATGATCATAATCATCAGGCAATGAATTTAACAAACATAGTGCCTTGTCCTCGTCAGAAATTTTCACATCAAGGTTTGCTAAATCAGCAAGTATTTTATTATAATCATTGAGGTGTTCGTGCATAGAGATACCTGGACGATACTGAAATCGGAAGAGTCGCTTCTTCAAGAAGAGACGATTTTCTGCGCTCTTGGTCATATACTTCTCCTCCAATTTCGTCCATAACTCCTTAGCAGAAGTTTCCTTCATATACGGTATTTCAACTCCTTATCAAGGAACGATCGAATAGCAGCACAAGCATGAAGATTAATTCGCGTCCACTGCTTGTCATCAATATCTTCTGGTTTATCTTCCAGAACCATATCCAACTCTTGTTTATACAACACATCCATAACTTCACATTGCCACATACCAAAATTATTAGAGCCATTGAATTTATCAACCTCTAACCTTGTAGTAGTGGTTGGATGTCTATTGGATGTAGACGAAGACGATGTTGACCCATTCTTTACAGATTCGTCTTTATCTCCAGCCATCTACTCGGCACTGTTCACAAATACGGCACTGTTCACAGGTACAATACTGTTCACAGATACTGTAGCAGTTCACTGTTCACAGAACTGTAGCACCAACACTATTCACGAAACTGGGCTCTGGTACCACTTGTTGTGCGGAAGCGGTATACGACTGTAAGTGAATAGTTAAACAGAACAGAATAAAACCACTATCAACAAGAACACCAAGATTTATACTGGTTCGGCAATGCCTACATCCAGTTTGGAGACGACGGAGTATTCCACTATAATCAATGAGAACATACAATAGTGTTTATCACTCAATTTCCCAAAGACCCAAATAACCCAAGCTCTCACACTTACAATAGGAAGAGAAAACCAAAAATACAAAGCAAGACAATTTGAGAAAATTCTTCTCTATGCCGAATGGCTTCTTGCTATTTTTCTCTCTTCCTTGTTCTCCTCTTGTCTCTACTCCATGCTTATGAGCTTCACCTTGCTCTCCTTTTATAGCCAAAGAAAAGCTTCTCAAAGACATCAATGGCCAAAGGCCTACCATCAAGTCAAAAGAGTTAGGCACAAATTAGGCACAAATTAGGCACAAATGTTGTTTGCCTCCCATTACCACAAAGTAGCCCAAAGATTTGGACTTTGACTACATGTTTGAGTCAATAATCAACAAACATGATATCGATTCTGGAAGCATGCCGAAACAAGGCCGTTTGGCCGCAATTCATAAGAATTGCTCCTCCGCCGCCGCCCCCCGAGCAGTTCAACTTCAAACAACAGCCTCAATTACGCTTCCACAACAACAACAACAACCCTTGCGTTGATCTGTACTTCCACTCCACTGCGCCAAGGGACATGACGCCATGTCCACCGTGGAATTCCACGAAACTCTGATGAACCAAGTGCTTCCCTCGACATGGTCGCACAATCCTCTAACTACCCTCAAACTCATCTGAAACTTCATAGACAAACGCGGCGACGGTGGAAAACGCAACCAAGACGAAGCTTTCTTCACGGCGGTGGTTTGGCTCCACCAGAACCACCCCAAAACCCTTGCCTGCGATCTCGTGACAATCTCTGGCTCCTTCGGGCATATCCTAGACCTTCCATGCATTCTCTCGAAGGTTCTACGGGGCGAAGCTCACTTGAAGTTTACTGGGAGGATAAGGGAGGAGGCGGATTCAAACGGAATGGTGAAGGTAAAGGAAAAGGACGCCAAGTGAAAATCAAGCGACTTCTTGTTGAGGAGGAAGACGATCCACACGGCCAACAAGGCGGCTCAAAGAGATACGACCGCTTCTTGCACGACTGTGTTTCGGATATTTTCGCCCAGTGCCTCAAGTCTGATATTGAAAATTTTCTTCATCACAACGATCATGACCATGACCATGACCATCATGATGATTACTGCTTGGAGATTACCCAAGCGGCTACCTCTTTGCCTACCACCGCCGATGATCATATGTTGTTCGAAAACATTGCAAGGAAGATTTTCCCGCCAGAATCATGACGCCTTGAAGGGGAATTAATGTTGGAAGTTTTGAGACTCTTGTCCCACATTGGGGAAAACAAGATTCACAGGGGCCTTTATATAGATTTAGTGCTTTAGTCTAGTAATTAGAATGTGGGCCATTTGGAAATGGATTGAAGGCTTGGGCCTTATGGTTGTGTGGATTAGGCTTGTATAATATAGCTTAAATACAATTAATATTAATTAATCAAGACAATGGCCTTGGGCCTTGGAATTTAAAATTAATCTGATTCATTAATTTTAATTTTCGGATTAAGTTTTTAATTAATTTATTATTAATTAAAAACGTTTTGATTAAAAGACACAGCTCTTAGAAAAGAGTTGTGAACCTTCAAATACACTGAACTGGTATTTGAAAGGGTGTGAAACAGCCTATATATATGCAATCCATGGTATCTAAATGATAATCTTTTCTTCTTCCTTTTCTTCCGTACAAAATTCCAGAGAGAGAGTAAACACACAAAGCAATTCGCTAGAATTCTATAATCCAGTGCGGATTGTAGGATTAGGTAGTTGTATCCTGGTCGAGCAGACATTGTAGAACCACAAGCACAAGAGTGGGACGGAATTACTGTTCGAAGGACATAGCTTTTACGCTAGCCTCTACCTTCTGTAATCAAGTTAATACTGTGGATATTCTTAAATAAATTTCTGTTTTTATTGTATACGTTTCATTCTGTATAGCAAGTACTTTTAGTAAAATAAAATTGTGAATTTCAAGTTCTGTTTATTTCTGTTATATTGTTTATTTCTGAATTGTTCTCCAACATGGTAGTGTTCGTTGTATTGACCGACTGAGGAAGGAGGTTTTGTCGCCCTTGAGAAAAACTATGGCACCAAGGGGCTGGGAACCTGCCAACCGGTGGGGTTATAGAGCGGAGTACAAACGAGAGCAACTGGCTGCAGCCAATGAGATTGATCCCGACGATGCTGTGCTGCTTCCGCATGACATATTAAGCTATATCAAGTATCCCGAGCTCGAGCAAGAGGCTGATGTTAAGTGGAAAAAAATGTTCGAGGTCTACTCAAAGCAGGGGAAGCTGAAGAATGGGTAGGCTGTGTGTGATGTCGACAACACCTTGTCGGCGGGTTTGGCTTTAGGGCTTTTGTTGCCTCAGTTGAGTGACGAGCCGTGGAAAGGAAAGGTGGTCGCTTACACAAAAACCCTTGGCGGCATTCAATACAAGATGATGATCTTAATTCGAGGGCCAAATATATGCAGACTTTGATCAAAAGCCAGGACTGGACGGCTGATTTCGGGAAGGTGTTCGATGTGATTCTAGAAGAGGCAGTGAATGCGAATTTGAAGCCAGATAAGATGGTCAAGAAGGTGCTTGCCTAGACGACATACAAACACTTTCCCGAAATACGGACCAAGTATAAGAAGGGGTATGGAGATGTGGTGCCACACCTAGTCATTTGGAATATGATCAAACCTGAGTATTCGGCTGGGCATTGTAGAGAACCAGAACCAAGGGTGACGTTGTTAAGTCGCTTCTCGTACAAGCTGCTCGAGTCCTTCTTCGAAAATTATGGTGACATCGGCCCCAACCATGTCATAGAAGCTGCTGTATCTGCCCCAGCCTATCAAACTCTTGCAGTAGTCGACCGACTGACTCGCACAGATCACTGGTGTGAATGTGTTCATTTATATATTTCTTGGGTCGTAAAAGTTCCTCTCCAGACCATTGGTAGGCCTTAAGCTTTCATATTTTTCTGTTATCCTCTCTCCTCCATTGTTATCTTGCTTGTCAAGGTCTGTTTTTTTATCCTGCAGATTAATTGTCATCCGTGTCCATAGAAATCATTATCCATTGTTTCCCGTATTTTTGTTGGTGGACTGAGCGGTTAAACTTTATAATTATCTTTCTAATCATCTATTTAAGTCACCATACTAATTAGTTCGGTTGCTGAGTGAGTTGCTTAGTTTGGTTGTGGAACTGATTTTTCTGTTGTGCTTGTAGTTTTTTTTTTTTTTTCTGAGAATTTTTCGGGCTGGGTTGGAAAGGTAATTCTCAAAAGTTAGGAAGTAATTTTGTTTCTGAATAGATTTCAAAATATTTACGATTTTACCAGGATGCCACTTTTCCGGAGTGGATTTCATCCTCTCTCATCAGCTTCCTCTCTTTTTTCATTTGATCTTCTCTCCAAAACAAAAAAAACCTTAGCCGCTCAAGTTTCTCTCAACGCTAACCGTCCCTCGTATTTCTCTCCTCACTCACCATTTCAATGAACTCTCCTCCCGCACTGCCCCTTTTTGTTGTCTACTGTTTCCGTCTTTGTCTCGGCGATCATCTGCTACCGTTTTTGTTGCTGGAATAGTCTTCTCCTCCTACGAATTTCTTTGGTTCGAAACCCGTAGTTGGCTACAAGTTTTTGCCGTTTTCGATTTCATCGAAATTCATTTTTTTCCTCGCGTGATCTAGCATCTTCTGGTGATTTTAAGGGCTTTTTCAATGTGCTTAATTTAATTTCTTTTTTGTGGTTTTCGATTTGCAGGTGGATGTTCGAATTTTTTTTTCCTGTGATTTTGGGGTTATGTCTCTGTGCTACGATCTTGCGTGTGGTTGTCTAATTTGATTCGGTTTTTGCTTTCAGGAAATGATGCTCGTGAGGAATCGCCACCACCAACGGAACCTGTAGACTTGGACTGTCAGATTCTGACTCAACCCGAGTGGTGCCGGTGCTGAGAAGCTCACCGAGAGCAGCCCCGTACCGCCGCTGCCTTCTCCATTGTTTGGGGAAAATCTATCGGAGAAGATAAGGACTCATCTTCTCCAAATTATCACTGTTTTATTACTGTATCTTTAATCATTCATGACCACTACATTCATTATTTAAATGTTTAGAGTGAAACTTTAATCATTCAAGGCATGGTACAAATACAGAGTGTAACATATACCCGGTATCTCACTGTCTGGAAAATAAGAAGAGGATTCTCTTTCCATTTTCTTTAGTTTTTCTTTTCACATTCTTTATTTTATTTTTATCTTTTTATAAAAAATTAATATAAAATATTAACATGATTTAATTGATTGTTCAAATAGAGGGAGAGAAAGAAATGAAAAAAGAAGAAAGGAGAGTGTCTTACTCCGAAGATAAGAGCATTTGTATCTTCCTTTACAGCTCATTGTTTAATATTTTATTATTATGTTGACCTAAAACATATCACATCACATACCATTTTATTATTCACCTAAAACCCTCTTTAATCCCTACACCCACTACATCATTTTGAGTATTACTGTATTATTGCAACGACAATTTACAAGAGTAAGCATTACTTGATGAACACCCACTACAAGAATAAGCATTTCTGATTAAATTATTATTTTTGATAAACCCATTTAGAATCTGATCTGGGTTTTGCCTGGATTCCGGATTCCAGGGTAAAAACCTTGAAACTTAAAGGTTGGTTTGATCTGGGTTTTCCAAGTAAGTTCTGCAATTTATGAACTTTCATTACATAAAACACTTGATTAATTTATTATTATGTGATTTACTGCCTAATCTTTGTGTTGGTTCAAATTTTGGGGCAGAGAATCTGCCCCGCCACGTCGGTAGTGAGGGGTTTCGCGTCTTTGGCGAAAGAGGTAATATGACGCCTACCATCATCTAATCTTTGGCATTTATAATCCATGTGATTGCTTAACAAAAAATTTGTGTTTTTTGCTTTTTCAGAAGATGAATTTTTGTATAACATATAAATCTTATAAACATTCTACCCATTGTTTAGTTTAACGAATTTTCTAGTGTTAGTTCTGCACCATTCCAATTTGCCTTTGATTGGATAAATAATAGCATTGTTTAGCAAATTTGCAAATTTCCTCGTATTCCTAAGTTAGCATTTTTAGTCAAAAATTTTAGATTTTACAGATTTTTCCAGTTCAGGACGACAAAAATTTAGGGCTTTGATTTGTTGATGTGATTTCCACCTACTCTGAATTCAAATAGAAATGCAAGGATATATTAGATATACATCATCATAGCCAAAACCTTAGAGGCAGAAAAGACCCAAGGACAAGTACATGGGTGCACAAAAGGATAAAAGGCGTTCGGAAATCATTTCCCATTATTTATCACCTTCCTTCCCCTATAATACCAGCGAGCAGTGATTGAGTGACGTTTACTGGAGAAGGTGTAGGGTCAACCCCGGGGGTGTTAGCACCACTTGCATTGCTGCCTTCGGGATGATAGTTGAGGTGAACATTACTATGCTTGGATGCAGTTGATGGGGTATCATCCTCCACCAAAAATCTACCTGTTGAAAATGTTGTTACATCTTGAAAATTATAATCTGTTAAATAGCTTGGCTTTGACATGACAGTGCCTATGTCAATGTCTCCAGAGAGCATTGCAACCACGCGTGTCATAGATGGCCTTGCCATCGGTGATCCCTGCGTGCACAGGAGAGCTGCTCTTATCAATCTAGTTGCTTCAGTTTCATCAAACTCTGTCAATCTCGGATCCACCAGCCCCAGAGTTTGGTCGTTTTCATGTAGAGTCCATACCTGAAAAACATTATGCCACAGTCAAAGGAAAGTATAAATAAGTTTTTCACAACAATGCCTAAATGAAGCTAGGCGAATGCAATTCCTACCCATTCAAGAAGATAAATCTTTTCTGGATCCAAGTTATTGTAAGAGTTTGGTTTCCCGCTGAGGATCTCCAAAACAACGACTCCAAAACCAAACACATCAACCTTCTCTGTCAAATGTCCAAACAATGCATACTCCGGTGCCAAATAGCCTCTACAATGCAAGATAATCAAATGGTTGCACAATGTTACTTAAGATCGTTAGAGGCATTATGAACGTGTTAAAATTTCATGCAAGTATAAATGTGTGTGGCCATAATGTATGTATCCTCTGGAAAAACAATAAAGGATGGCTTACATTGTCCCTGCAACCCGGGTGCTGATGTGGGTTTTCTCGTCATCATAAAGCTTTGCCAGTCCAAAATCTGATATTTTTGGGGAGAGTTTTTCATCGAGCAAAATATTACTCGCTTTGACATCTCGATGTACAATCCTTGGCCTTGACTCCTCATGAAGGTAAGCAAGTCCTCTTGCTGTTCCCAACAATATATTGAATCGAGTAGGCCAGTCAAGGTGCAAGTTACTTGTTCCTGAAATATTAGTGAACACATCCAATCAAAAACATTTCTTAACAATTTTAGAGTGCTTGAAACTGCAAACAATGTTGTTTCTATGCAACCTAAAAGTAGATAAGTTTGTACCAAAAAGTGCCTGATCAAGGCTCTTGTTTTCAAGATACTCATAAACCAAAATGCAGTGGCTGCCTTCGATGCAGCATCCATACAATTTCACTAGATTCCGATGTTGCACAGCAGATATGGTAGCAATTTCAGATACAAATTGACTCTTCCCTTGGTGAGATGCTACTGAAAGTTGCTTCACAGCCACTACTCTACCATCAGAAAGTGTACCCTACAATGTACACATAAACACAATTTAGTGACGTGAAAGGAAAGAAAACAGAAGCTATATTTTCTTCTCTCAATTTCTCCTTTCTCTTGTCATTACTTCAAGCACATGATATTGATGTAATACAGATTTCACCTTATAAACGGGGCCATATCCTCCCTCTCCTAGCTTATTTGAAGGATTAAAATCTTCAGTTGCAGCTCTCAATTCAGCATAACTGAAAGTATATGGCCGGGGGCCTAGTCCTAGAATATCTGCACATTCACGAAACAGTGTGACAAAAGTTTTACTTTCGTGAAAGCATTCTTACTTCTGTGTGTTAATGTCAAAGCAGAGAAACCTGAATTGGGTACCAGTAATGATATGGTCGTTTACCTTCATCGTCTTCTTTTTCTGATTTTTTCCTCCTCATATATAGAATCGCAAATATTAATAGCAAGCTCATAGCTCCAACAGAAACTGCAATACCGACTTTCAACCCAATCTTGCTCTTCTTTCCTGGAGTAGTTGGTGGAAGCCCGGAAACTGTTGGTGTAAAATCTGAGTGATAAAACAGATGAATTATTCAGTGTCAATTAACAGTAGAAAAATACATTTAAACCACTCACAGGAAATCTCTATAAATTAACACATACTATACCTGAAGCAGCATGGACAGCTGCTATTAGTGGGCCGTAATCGCCGCAATTGGTGTAATCGCTGGAATAGCCAAAATCGCCATAATCGGGGATGCAACAAGTCCCTTTACCAGCCCAGAACAGATGAATTTCAAGATAATTCTCTGACACGCTAACATTAAATTTTCTCACAACTGCTCGCTTAACACCACCTGCCTCCTTCGATATGTCAAAGTCCTTCGTCCTGCGGGTACCCTAGCAACCAAATGAAGACGTAGGTAACACTAGCTTTAGTTAATGTAGCTTAAAACATCGAAAACATGTCCAATGAGGTGTTTACTTCAAATAAGTTAGAATTTTTATTCTATAAGCAGTCTTACCTGAATATGGATATCAAATACACGCCGTCCTAGACTTTGCCAAGTTTGCGAAGTGCGACTTTCATAAACCGTCTCTGCAAAGTACAATGTTACAGTGTAGGGCCCATTCTCAAGGCCCAGGCCATAGTATCTCAGTGATCCTGGGGACACTCTTGAAGTCTGGAAAAGCTCCGGGGTCACATCTGTTCCGGTGACTTGTGCATGGGTCTTAACCAGAAACGGTGGGTTCTCTGTTTCAAAAAACAAACCGGCATTGCTGACAGCCCATTTCTCTGTACTGGTTACACTGAATGTTGCTGGGCCAAGAGCTGAGTCTTCAGTCTCATACAATATGCCATCACGTCCCATCATTTGCGGTCCACCACAGTTGATTGAGAAGTTTGCATCTGTAAGTTTCATGTAATACCAGAATCTTCCCATAATTAGTGATGAAACTTCAAATTGAAGACTCATACTAATGTTCTTCAGTCACATATTTCTAACCAGTTATGCGTATTACTGAACTTATGAAAACATGCTTGCAATCTATATCCATATGTATACATAACTAGAGAAGCAATGCCTTTTCCTCTAACATGATGTTGCTTTAAAATAGTAAATGATGGGTGACATAAGAGCAGATTACATCGCGGGGTATTTCGATTGCATGGAAAATTTCTCTGGAGGCAATTCAATCCAGTAAGACTGCAAACACAGAGAACAATTATTAGTTATCCAAATAGAGTCATGTAGTGGAAGAGTAGTATTGCTTGTCTAAAACGAGTAAGAGAAACTTCAACTCACGTTATGTTTGAACTGTCAAATGTGAAGTTGTTGACCACTAAGTTCCTGCATAAAATCATTAATCAGTCAACATATGAAGAACTATATCTTTATCAAATGAAAACTTAGTAGGCAAGTAGCACTTTGAAAACGAATCTCAACGATAATTTTTTGTCCGAACGTATTCTGGTGATTTAAACTGTAAAATGAAGGTGAAAGAGAAAAGGACAAGTACAGTTGCGGTATTGTGGTCACCCACCGGGGAAAGCTTCCTGATAAAAAATTGTAAGAGAAATCTCTGCAAATAACAAAATAGAATCAAAAGACACAAAATGCATGAAAGTTATTAAGAACTTGTGTAAGATAGGATTAGAATGCTTACGATTATACACATACACATACACATACATGCACCGTGCGTTCTATATGACTACTTTAAGAAACATAGACTTACATAGCCTGAAGTTGATCGCTCTTTCGGCTCGGAAGAGATCCGGAGAGACTATTGTTTCCAAGAAACCTGGCCATTTCGATTATAGTAGAAGGCACCCAGAAAAGAAAAAGAGATGAGCAAGAAAAAGGTCAGATGTGCACAAAATCTAGAAGGATTAGTCCAGATCTTCAATCAAAGTAGGGAATGTTAAAGATTTGATAACTTATGTATGATAAGGCAAGCAAAATATAATAATAAGGACGGGGATTACAAGGATTTAAGAGAACGCATGTTGAACAAAAAACTTGGGAGTTGGCCTGTCAAATTGTTGAAACTCAGATCCCTGCACACCAACGATAAGTTGAGAGAAGAATCAGAATGAAAGAAAACTAATTGGTCTCGTTGGTACGTACAGTGTCTTTAGACTTTGATATTCTCCAATATCAGATGGGATGGTACCAGTGATTAATGCGTTTCGTAGTCCTCTGTATTCCAAAAACATAAAATTTGATAAATAGAAGATGGAGTAAGATATCAAATTTCAAAAGGAAAAAGAAGTTAGATGAAAGTATCTGGATCGATGAGAATCTTCACTTACAATTCAGTCAAGTTTTTCAGATTTTTTATGAAATCAAGAGAGGAGCTCCCATTGTATATATCACTGATTAGCCTACATCATTATATGCAAAATAAACTGAAATCCCGTCTTCGGAGAAAGAGAGAGAGAATTACAATTTATGAAACATTTGTACTTACAGATAGTTCAATGAGGTCAGTTGAGAAAAGCTGGTTGGTATTGGGCCTTCGAAAGAGTTCCCTTGAAATTCCCTACAGAAACATATAAGAAGCTTGTGAACAAATTATCCATCTCAGGTCTGCTTTCATAAACTGCAAAAGATCAAAGGTTTCTCTACTTACAAATGAAGGAGTTGTGTCCAATTCCCTATGAAATCAGGTATCTTTCCTGAGAAAGGATTGTCCGATGCCCAGCTAAAATTCAAAAAGTTGAATTATAGTGAGCTCATCCAAGAAAAGCAATCTCAAAGTACAGGATAAACGAACAAATCTAAAATACGATTTAAGAGCCATTCTTACACGACTCGCATGTTGGTGAGCTTGGCAAATGTTGAAGGAATTTCACCACTGAGTCCACAGCTGTCTATGTAGCTGTGAAAATCATAAGGCAATTGATGAGTACCCATTTCATACGATAAAGCGCAACTTTTGCTCATCCGTAGGGGATTAACATGTCATTCAAATTTGATGATTTAACGAAGCACTTACAGTTGCTCGAGCTTGACTAAATTACCAAGTTCTGGAGGGAGTGTTCCGGAGAAATTATTTGTTCCGATGCTCCTGCAAGTCATGTTGAACTGTAAGTCTATAGCTGATTAGGAAATAAGTTGTGTATCAAATTTGTGTATCCACTTGAGTTTAAAATACCAAGTGTGCAGCTCTAATGTAGCAAGGCAAATAATGCCAGGTGTAATGATCCTAGCAACTAGCTAGATGTAAGGCTGAGATTGTTTTGTGAACAGAGAGAATCCACCTTGGATTCTAACGGTTATGTAAAGCACAGAGTGTGTGAATTGTATAGAGATGAAGAGAATATGCTCTGCTAGATTTTGCAGAGAAAGAGAAACCTTCAGAAAATTCTTCCATTGTTATCCTTCTCATTTTCTGTTCTTCGATTGTTCATTCATAACAACAGGTTCTATATCTAATGTTTACGACACAAAATTTTATTGTACGCTCTCTAATTTTTCATGGCTTACAGCACAGTTAGCTCCTTAAGGTTTCCAAGCTCCTTGGGGATGGGCCCAGAGAATGAATTGATTCTAATTGACCTGAATGGAGATATCAGTTAGTGAAAGATACCACCATTAAATTTAATTACATTACATAACAGGAAACTAGTACTGCATTATTCAATAAAAGCATAATGATTTTTTTGTAGATTACGGCATAAATAGTAGCGAAAATGTGTAAAGAACATAACTGTAGATTATGATATTCAAAATGAAGTATACAAATTGCTACGGGTCTCATCAGAAGTATGAGTACTTAAAGAAATGTTCTGTCACTACTTACAATACAATCAATGCAGACATATTGCCAATGAATGCCGGTAGGGGACCGGTGAAATAATTCTGATTGATCCACCTACAAAAATTGAAAGGAAGTGTAACCGTTAACTCTTAATCTTACAACATCACCATATTTTTGTTGAAATCCCACATCGGCTAGAGAAATAAAGAAAGAAGAGTTTAAATATCCAAATCCCACTCCAATTAATGCCGAGGCCTTTTGAGATAAACCCCACACCTGACGAATTGTTCAGGTGGTAATTACCAAGTTGGAGACAGTATCAGTAATGTTGGAAGTGAGCTTTTGGCCCGTCTCTCTGATAATTTTACAATTTTTAATATCCAATATATGATTTTGATGAACCAAAAACAGAAAAGGGAGTTGGAAAAAATTCATACAAAAATGTGAGATATCTCAGAGCCTCAAATTCTTCTGGAAACACCCCTCGTTTGTTAAGAGAATACACTTTCCTGGAAAGCAAAAAGATTGAACATTTAGAACTACATAAAATGGATGGACACAGTCAAATTATGACGTTAACATATATAGGTAGCAAGTGAAAAATCAGCAGTGGCATGGAAATCTTGTTCATCAAGAGAGAGTAGTTTAACATACAGTTGGGTGATGTGGCAAGTAGCATTGTTGTCGTAAGAACAGTTGCAAACGATGGCTGGGTTGAAATCGCGGCTACCAATGTCGGTGCCGTTGATGGCAGATCCACTGCAGGGTTCTCCACTGATATTCCACTGCCCCGGCACTGCTTGTGTGTCCCATTGTTGAAATATTGAGTTCAACGCCCTCACTGCACTCTCAGTTAATTCAGTCCTTGTGTGTATTAGATTATATCACACCATAATTTGACTGGTGTTACTACTTACCAGACTATCTCGAACCAAACGAAAGATCAAATTGATTATTACAAAGGAACAATTACCCTTGATTTTTGGATGTTTTGCATATGGGAAGAAAAAGGGCTTTACAAATAAATTCTTCGAAACTTCATTTCATATGGTCAAAAAACACTTAAAATGTCATTTTGTTGAGGGAAAAAAGGCCAGTTCCTGGTCAAAACCCTTAAATGTGGCAAAGTGTGTGTGTGTGTGGTGTTTGGGTGGGGGGGAGGTGGTTGGAGGGATGGTGGTGGTTGGGGAGAGAGATTGAGAGAGAACCTTCAGACGGATCAGTGGTAGCATTTTGAGCAAAGGACAGCTGAAACCAGAAGCAGCTGAGGAAGCAGAGTAATAGTATCCTCATCATCAACTTCATCTTCATATTGTACATGTGCAGAACTTGCTCTCCTCGACGGCGTGAACTTAAACGACCAACACTTAGATTCCGACTGGCTGAATCATGCATTGCATGTAAGAAGAAGAAGACCATTAGATTTTAGTCGTATATTGACAACTTATACATATATAATCTTTATATATGAAGCCAATGGCCCAATGAACAGTGTTTTTTTTAGTGTCACAAGCTTCACATAAAAATAATTAAACAAAAAACTTCAAAAGCAATTCAAAATAATGCATTAAATGTGGCAGGAGTATTTTCATCATTTTAATAGTATTTTTTTAATAATTAATTTTTTTGTACAGTTTTTTTTTAAAATAATTAGTACCTTACAATAGGCTAACAATAATGTGATTCTATCAGTTATTCATTAAATATTATTTTCTCTATATTTAAACACATTCAAAACAACTTAAGAGGCGTATAATGCCGGTTATAAAAAAGGTCTTTCGCGGTTAATAATGTGATTAAATTAGTTGTCAAATGATTTTTTTTTTGTCACAAGCGATATATATTTTCTACACTAAGAGGGAGGGATGAACTTAGCCTCCCATTGGGCTAGCAATAATATGATTAAATCAGTTGTTTATTAAATATTATTTTCTCTATTCTTAATATAAATTCAATAGAGACTGATTTTATTATGTGGATTTAGCTACTTTAATTAGTTTATGAGAGGTTTCTTCTAGTATGATCTAAGATTATTCATTTACTTCAAATATTTGACTTTCCTTTTGTCAAATTACGCATATAAATACATTTAAAACATGTAATTCGCACGTAACACGCTGTGATTCAAAAAAAGAAAAACTAATAAAAATGGCTTGAAAACTTTAAGTTTTAACAATAAGGAAAAAATAAAGGATGAAGTGAATAGTATCAGGTTTGATTTTTTTAGTGTAAAAATGTGATTTTTTGTTAAAGTGAACAGTACCGCAAGCTTTTCGTTAAAACTCCCTTCAAAAAATGCCTTCTACATGCTCGTGAGCACGTGCATGACGGTTAGTATATGGTAAATTACAAAAAACTAGCTCAATTATGAGTTCAATAACAATCTCATACCTTATGTTTTAAATATTGCAATGTCATAATCAACTTATGAATATGTTGCAACGTCAGACTTCTGTTAAATTTTCTATCAATCTGACTGTTAAATGATGACATGGAAGAAACGAGATCCACTTTTTTGCCAACTTGAATAAAAATAAATAAATTATTAATATAAATTATTAATTTGACAATTAAAATTAACTTTAAAAATAAATAAAAAAACCTCTCCCCTTGTTCCCTGGAAATCGTCCCCGTTCCTCCGATCACTTCTTCCTCCGCTCCCCTTCTTCCTCGTCCTCCTTAAACGCAGCTAATTTTCGTCCTCCTCCGGGAACAACTGATACACCGCCGATCGCAAAACGCAGGTGGGTTTCGATGGCAAACCAAAACCAGACCCAATTCATCTTGCTCCAACAGTCTTTACATAAAACTAATTTGATTTCTTCATCATAAGTCCACTAAGATTTCGCAAAACTGAGCATTAGAAACCATCCCCTTATCATTTTACCTCTCTTCAAATCCCATCACCGACTGGGGCTTTCGCCCCACTGCCATTTCTTCAATTTCTTCTTCTTCACCATTTTTCTAAGAAAAACCACCAAATAAAATTGCAAAGGGAGAGTTCCAGAAAGCCAAAACGAAGAATCCCACAAAAACAAAACCCAAAACGAAAAACACAAATACAAACCCAGAAAATTCAAGAAATTAGAGAAATTAATTTTTTTTTTTAAATAGAGAAATTAATTTTTCAAAAATTCAAGAAGTGGCCATTTGAAAATTAGCCCAGTACTCTGGATTTTGGAAATCCTCCATAATATTAATTGAAGAATGGAAGTTCTTCACAGTCCAATTTTTTTCTTTTTCTTTTCCCAAATTTTTTTCTTTTTCTTTCCCCTTTTTTTCCCCCATTTTCTGGATTACCACCACTGCCACAGATTCGCTTCCCCGATGCGTGTCAATCTCTACACCTTCTCATTTCCGTCTCCGTCCGTTCGGTTCTCCATCAACCATCATTCGAAACGATCCACTGCCGTTTCAAAGAAAACCGGACCGATTTTGATGCCGAAGAAGACATGTTTATGCTCGCCGACGTCGTAGCCAGATCATTTCGTTGCAACCTCCACAAGAAACCAGGGAGGGAGTAAAAACACCGGATCTTTCCCGTCGAACAGATTGAATATGTGCCCATCTGAAATGACGAACTCGTTGGTCCGAATCGGTGGACTCGAAGGCGGCGGATAGACGAGGAAGAAGGGGGACGGATGAGGGAGTGAAGGGGACGAATGAGGAAGAAGGGGGACAGAGGAGGGAGTAGAGGGGAGGAGACGATTTCTGGGGAAATGAAGAGAGTTTTTTTTTTTTTTTAATTAAGTTTAATTGTTAAATAAGAATTAGTAATTTATTATTAATTAATTAATTTTTTATTCAAGGTAGCAAATGAGTGGGTCCCACTCCTATCACGTTTTCCCAGTTAAATTGACAGAAAATTTAACAGAGGTTTGTCATTACAACGAATTCGAGAAATGATATTGCAATATTTAAAATATGAGGTATGAAATTGTGGTTCGACCGATAATTAAAGTAATTTTATATAATTTAGCCTATAGTATATTTTGTACAAGTTGCATGACCAAATGGGGGCCACTTTTTTAATTTCCCACCTGGAGTTGGCCAAGACTTTGATCATATTAGTTGAATTGTATACTGTAATTTACCCAAAAGACGTACCCAGAACCACTTCCCTGCCCTTCGCTGGAAACCATGTCATCATCGGCGTCGATTGCATACGGCCACTTCCTTTTAATGTTGATTCGAAGAGAAAGAACGAAAGAGAGAGCAAATCCTCTGATGCGGGAGTGTGGGGGGATCTGGTGGAAGGAGGATATGGGGTGGCTGGGGTCCATGGATATGGATTAGCTATGGCAGATCAGCCATGGCATCTAACAGAATGAGAAAGAAGATGAAAGGTGTTTGGTTATGAGTTTAAAATGATAATTGAGTGTTCGGTTAGTAAGATACAAATATTGGGATAAAGTTTTGAAATACACATGTTGTAATATTATTGGGGCACATCAAAGATGAGTAAATTTCGGTACTTCCCATTGAGTACCTAAGTATTGTCCTTAAAAGAAAGGCAGCTACAAAAGATGCGACTTGTATCATACATTTTCCCAATTAAGAAAGTTGAAATTCAACAATAAAATCAAGAGTAATGTTACACTTATTACCTATTTATATCATCATTTATTTTATCTCTTTAATAACAGTCGTGTCCACCAACGCATGTAAATCATATCTCTATTAGAGAGAAGGTATAAACAATTGTACAAATATATGGTAAAAGTAGCATTTTTGTAAAATCAATTGGCAATATGAGAAGTAGTTCAACCACTTATAAACGCTTATATAATTTGGTCTCTTTTTGACCCACATTCTCACACCCAACTTTACATTTGGACCAAGTCTCTGCATACGCTTTCCTCCTCAGCAACTTGCCGTTGTTGAATGTTCTCATTCACTTGGGGATGTAGATAACACTAGCTCATTATATTTCCTCTTCCATTAAATTGTAAGGAAAACTAACGAAAAGTCCAAAAAATTTTCTTTTTAATGAAAATCCATTTTTAAAGGTATAGTGAATAGTGTCAAGTAAAGGTAAAAATGTGATTTGTTAAAAGTAAACATTACCGGGAGTGTTTTGTTAAAACTCCCTTAATTGTAATGATGGTAATATTCTCATTAAAATAATTTCGCTCTATTTTATTTATTTATTTTCATCTGGTATACATAATTTGAATGTTTTACTTTCAAAGTCACTCTTTAAAAATTAATTATACTAAAATTCAGCCAAATTTAATAATCTAAGTCATATAATAAATAAACAAATCATGTTATTAAAAACTGAAATTTTGACTGGAAGGAGGATGAAGAGGAGGCTCCATGAGATGGGCTGCCATGGCAGTACCATCGTTATGGCACTGCAGTGGTTCAGATCACGACTGAAAAAAATGGCAGTGGTTGTGTTTTGTTTAAAAATGATGTGTGTAATCATCTACTCCAAGTGAAAGACTCTTAAAGTGTCCTCTGAAAGAAAAGCACCTTCAGGCGAGGCCCTAGGGAGACAAAAATGGTCTTGTAACCCTACTGACACGTAATTGGACGGTGGAAAATCATGCAGAGCTACCTTTTTTGAAAAAAAAAAAAAAAATCAAAGAGAATCTTTTAAAATAGAAATTTTCCCGTAATTGGATACGTAATTTGTATATTAATATTATAAAATATTATATCAAGAAAATAAAGGAAAAGAGAATACAAGTGAAGGACGTTGACGGCTAAGATTGAAGTTTCACAAAAGATACATATATGAATACGGTCGAGATCATTGGTAACTTCTGTGGTGCGTACTGATACATATTGAAATATCTAAACCCAAGTCAACCTCCTTCAGTCAACAAAAGAAAAAGTCATCCACGTCCATTAAGTTGATATAAAATCGTGCATCCCAAAACGTGTGGCAACGTCGTCTTGTTTTTCATACTTGCTTCGCGTGAGACGATGTCCACACGCGAGGGATATTGGTCTTCCATAGATTTTTGCCGGGAATCGGTACTGGTGACTATCGAATCTTATCTCATCTTCTCACTTCATCGTTAACAAGATTTCTTCACACCTATTTTTTCTTTTCACAAATCCTTCTTAATTTTAAACAGTCAAATCAAATAAATTATAAAAAATTAATAAAGATGTGCAAAAAGTAAAAATAAGTACCGACAGAAAATACCGTTGCTTTTAATGCCCAAGGCCTATCTCATTCGTTGGAAAAGTATACTATTGTAGCGAAGTGTGGTAGTTCATATATAGTTGGCAATGGCATTGGGATATTAATGGCAAAACTTAATGCCCAAGGCCCAGCATTGAAATATGGAACGCCACAACTACTGGTTCATATATAGTTGCGAAAGATTTTTCAATGTGATCAGTACATGAAATGGTACACCATATGTCATTATATAAATAGTGGGATATGTGTACTAAAAAGTTAATAATTTAAAAAATAAAATTTATCACTTCTATTAAAACACGTGTTATACCACTTGTGTTATCTTCACAATTAAATTTTTCTCATATAGTTGCAAAAACTCAATAATTCCTTCCATTGCACCAAATACAACAGCAACAAAGCTTTGTTTCACTAAGCGGGATCTATTGTATGTCTCCCGAAACGCTACTATGCTTTGATTTGTGTCAAGTCTGCCGTCATTTCCGGGTACTCCATGTCTGTTCTAAAAGTCTCTTTCCAAGTATTATGAGGTTTTCCTCTGTTCTAAAAGTCTCTTTCCAAGTATTATGAGGTTTTCCTTTACCCTTTTTACCCTGACCCTCCGTCTTTTTCTAACAATAGCATTTGTAGGACTTTGGCTCACATGTTTATCCATTTTAACCGATTTTCTCTCATCTTATCTTTAATTACCGCCACTCCTATTTTATATCGAATATCCTCATTTCTAATTTGGTCCTTCTAATCCACCCAATAATTGTTGGAATTTGTGGCCATGTGTTTTCGATGTGCACACCTTGACAAAAATATTGTTTGAAATTTCAATAAAATTGGCCAGACTGCAAAGGCATTTACATAATTGAACATGTTTTAGAACAACACAAGATGATGGTCAGAGAGATTGAAATGCCTCTATGAGTTTTTCGACTTTTAAAAAGATGGACTTTCATAGCTTTGCCATCATGTAGTTACTTTTTTCAAAACAAAAAGTAAACATGGTAACCAAAATTTTCATAAAGCCTTTTCACTTCTGATTATCATGAAAGTTTAAAAGGAAAACTAATGAAAATGACTTGAAAACTTTGAGTTTTAACGATAAGGACAAAATAAAGAGTAAAATGAATAGTACTATGATTGACTTTTTAATGTAAAAATGTGATTTTTCGTTAAAGTGAACAGTACCGGATGTTTTTCGTTAAAATTCCCAAGTTTAAATTCATTCCTTGTCAATTTTATTCCCTATCAATTTCGTTTCCCATTTACAAATTAGAAAAACATTTTTAGTGGGAGGTTTTTGAATATATTCAACAATAATATACGGAAGTTGGCCACTAGCCATATAGGGTCAATTCGTATTTAAGGATTCAAAACGACATGCAAGAAATTAGCCTAATTAGGTGAGCTTCGGTCATTGTCTGTTTGAGGATGACCTAACACGTTTGCAAAATATTTCTTCACGTCAAGTCTTTCGATTGAGGCTAAATTTTGCTCTACCTATTTTCCAGAAAATACTTATTTGCTTACCTCAATTATTTTGTCACTACCAATTCCAATTTCCTTCGTCGTCCTCTTGGACCTGATCCATTAGAAATCTCGGATCCAATGCAAACCGTCGTGCATTTTCTAGCTAGGGTTTAAGCTATTGAAGGACAAGCTTCTAACACTTACCCAAGTCAACCTCCGGTCAACAAAAGAAAAGGTCATCCACGTCCATTAAGTTGATATAAAATCGTGCATCCCAAAACATGTGGCAACGTCGTCTTGTTTTTCATACTTGCTTCACGTGAAACGATGTCCACACGCGAGAAATATTGGTCTTCCATAGATTTTTGCCGGGAATCAGTACTGGTGACTATCGAATCGTATCTCATCTTCTCACTTCATCGTTAATAAGATTTCTTCACATCTATTTTTACTTTTCACAAATCTTTCTTAATTTTAACCAGTCAAATCAAATAAATTAAAGAAAATTAATTATAAAAAAAATAATAAAAATATGCAAAAAGTAAAAATAAGTGCCGACGAAAAATACAGTCTACTTTTCCAACGAATGAGATAGGCCTTGGGCATTAAAAGCGCCTACTACCGTAGCGTGTTAGTTCATATGTAGTTGACAATGGCGTTGGTATATTAATGGCAAAACTTAATGCCCAAGGCCCAACATTGAAATATGTAACGCCACAACAGCTGGTTCATATATAGTTGCGAGAGATTTTCCAGTGTAATCAGTACACGAAATAGTACATCACATGTCACTAAATCATTATGTTTAGTGCTATTGGTATATCGAGATGGTACATCAATTGCGAGAGATTTTTATGCTCCACAAGATCCATTCATTAAATCATTTTATACATCAAATCTTTAATGACGAAATTAATATTTACTAAATTATCAAACGCCAATTGAACGAATATATTTTTTGTATTGACAAAGATGGGTATAACCGTTAACCGATGAGAAATTGGTTACCCGATGGTTAATTGACGGTTATGGATATGATTAATTTTCGTGATTATGAGAATTACTATAACATTTCCGCCCCAAACCAAACCGTTACCATCCCTAATTCCCAATCACAATTAAAAATTTCTCATATAGTTGCAAAAACTCAACAATTCCTTCCAATCCAACCAAATACAACAACAACAAAGCTTTAAGGATCGATTCGTATGTAAGAATTCAACAATAATAGACGGAAGTTGGCCACTAGGCATATAGGGTCAATTCGTATTTAAGGATTCAAAACGACATGCAGGAAATTAGCCTAATTAGGCGAGCTTCGGTCATTGTCTGTTTGAGGATGACCTAACATGGCAATCATAAGTGTAGAGTTTGCCATAACGTGTGTCGACATCCAGTATATACTAGAAAACAGTGCCCACGCGTTGCTGCGTGATGAGAAATTGCAAGATAAATTGTATCAAAGATATAGAAGATTGTGACATTGAAGATTAATATTATTTGCGTTGAAAACGTTAAGATGTTTACATACAAAAAAGATTACGACTGGAACTTGAAAAGTTTTTGCCATGTACCGTTGGTTGAGGTAGCAGAAGATGTTGTCCCATGAACTGAGCTAGTAAAAGCTGTATTTTAAATCATATGGTGTTGCGTTTACTCCAATTAAAAAAAAAAGTGAAAACAGTTAAAGTTATGATAGAAATTCAATTAACAAAGCTACAACCCAGTGAGAATATGAATTTATAAATTAGATTCACTCCCATAGAAACAATTACCTTAGCATTTGCTAACTCTGTATAAGTTGTTCATGAAGCGCAATTTAGAGCAGTATTCTTGAAACTGCAATTAACAAAGCTACAACCCAGTGAGAATATGAATTTATAAATTAGATTCACTCACATAGAAATAATTACCTTAGCATTTGCTAACTCTGTATAAGTTGTTCATGAAGCGCAATTTAGAGCGGTATTCTTGAAACTGTAAATCACGAACAACTTGTTAGAGCAACACTATTAACAGGAATGGATATATTCATTGACAACTTTTAAAAAGTAGAATCTCAAATGAGATGAAAACTTTACAATCACTAAAAAGTAAAATCCCAAATGAGATGAAACAATCAAAGATTCTACTCATACAAATATGTGATCATAATTGAATATTCCATTTGAACATAAAATTATTCTCTTAATTCTGTGAAAATAACGTAACAAAACTTGTAACGTACTAACTGTGTCCCTTTAATGTGGATATAGTCAATGTTCACCCTATGAATCAAACCTTGAAATAGTTGCTCTCAAAAATAGGCAAACACTATGCTCCTAAGGATGTAACGTAAGTATTTCATATCTACCAAACTAATTATTTGTATTAAATACAAATTGAAGTTAATTAGATAAGAAGTTAGTTAGAAACTCAGAAGACAAAACACCACAATTCATTAAATTCAAAGTTGCACATATTTCTTCTATACCTTGTATATCATGTTTTTTATATGATTGTGACCAAGACCTGATTTCTCTTTGATGAGCCTGGGCAAAAGCCTACAATTATTATACAAAGTCAACACATTATATACATGGAGGAATTTGCTAATGTTAAAATTCAATAGTACAAAAGCAGCAAGTACCAAAAGATTATTCTCTGTAGAAAACTCAAATAGATTATATATCAAAATTCAAAAATAAAGTTAGAGAAAAACATTACGACTATTGAGCTAGTATTGAATAATGGGTTCACCATATTTATAACTAAAGAAATGCAATCCACCATTAAAATTCTATTAATTAAACAGTTACCCCTATATCTTTTGCTAATGAATATTCAAAATATTTGGCGATAAAATAATGAATAATGGAATAAGTTAATCATCAGTTAATTATCAACTAAAAGTAATATTCATTAAACCCTACAATAGTATATATCTACTAAACAGAAGTTAAGATAACTAATATTGAATTTGACCTACTATTTTACTTGTATATTTGTTTTTTAAATTCGGTATAAAATTTGTTGAATGGATACGAAACACCCAGCTCTATTAAATTCAGTATTTTTTTTAACAAACGATATTATCTACATTATGTGGGTGGGGGAGTGGATTAATCCTCATAATGGGCTAGCAATAATGTGGTTCAAATTCGTCTTGGCAAGAATCAAATATTATGTATTTGGCAATATCTTCTAATTGTGCAATTTGGAAAGGCTGGATTCTCACCTTCTCCGGGGCTGGTTCTCCACATCAATCATAATGAGAGAGAGGGAGAAAGCAGGTATTCTTCAGCGTTTGAGTCATGTATATTGGTACAAAACCAATTAGGTACTTCGAATTACATAAACATCTTCCAATAGTTCAAATTGGAACTTGAATGAATCCTGAATAAAATGAAAATAATTACAGAATCTAGGAACAAACCATACTTTGTCAAATGGCATATTTAACCTGGCACATAAATTTTTCCAAGTAAATTAATAGTTACCTCAAATCATAATAGAATAGAATAAACATTACTTTTATAAAATATTATGAATTAACTCCGAAAATTTTCTTTAACCCAGATCTTTTTGAAAAAAAATTTATATTAATTTGGTGCTTTGTTTGGGTTTGGGAATTACGGATGGTTAAACAAACATTAAAGAAATAAAATGACAATGTACTGATTTTGCAGAGATACCTGCTGATGGTTTTGCACATTGGTGAGTAGCGTCATGAGTATTTCATAACACCGAATCTAAACGCAAGATAAGCTAAACAACAAATAAAGTGATTCAATACATTCTGAAAGAAAAACCCCCCAAAAAAAAATAGTTAATTCAGTTCCCCTACCTAAACCCACAAAACACAACTAATCTCGAGTAGAATAATCTGAGAAAAGAGAATAGTAAAACAGACATATAAATTTGCTTGACCAAGAAACTAAAAAAAAAACCGCACAAAGAAATTATGCATATTTGAAAAGAATTCAACCGATTGTAAAATTCTGATGGAAAAAAACTAATGACAGGATTTTAGGCATCAATATTCTTTACACTTAAAATGTTAGAAAATTTTTACATAAAAAAATATTTCATCGATACAGCCTAGATACAAAAAATTGTAAATTTTTTTATTTATTTACATGTATTATGTTTATGGAATGATATGTATATGCGTGTGTGTGTGTGTGTGTGTGTAATACTTGAGTTTCAGAATATATAAACTTCAGAACTTAATTCATTTTATAAAATAGAATGAAACAGATGACTTACACTTTTAAGGCTCCAATATTGATATAAAGTTGAGTCAGTTGATTTGTGGCTACCAACTGTAAACGAAAAATGCAAATGCTAAGTTATATTACATGTTTAATTGTTTTGGCAAATGCTAAGTTATGTTATTATGTATGATGGCTTGCCAAATACTGATTAAAAAAAAACAGTAAAGGGTTAAAACTTGAAATACCATATTCAATCTACCATCATATGCCAGCATTTAAAGTTGAATTGTTAAAATTTAAATCTTATGATCAACTCACCTTCCTTAATCTATTATGGAGGAATAAACAGAACGTTTCTTGACTCTTCTTTAACCACTTCACTTAAAAAAAATTAATCTTTAAATATTAAACATGAAGATCTTAAATTCATAAGTTATAAACTCAATAAGCTAGTTAAAATAAACATTCATCACGACATAGAACGGAACTTAAGTTGTTCTGTTTCTGAACATTATTTTAGCAATCAAACAGAGGAAACCTGTGTTAAATTTAGTTCTTTAAATTTAGGGTAAATATCAGTTTACTACCCTTAAGTTTCGTGATTTTCAACATTTGGTATATGAAGTTTTTTTCGTCCCAGAGTCATACCTAAAGTGTTAATTTTAGAACAGTCTCATACATCTGTTAGTCAAACTGCTAACTCTATTGTTAACTGATGATGTGGCGCTTATGTGAACAATGACAGGATGTCACGTGTTATTAAGGGGTCCACGTGGAAATTAAAATTTCAAAAAAATAATTATTTAAAGAAAAGTTATAAAAAAAAAAAAAGCAAAACCCCTTCCCCAAACCCCCTCATGCCCACACTCTCACCCACACCCATATCTTCCCGTCGACCCGTATCCCCCCTTCCCAAACCTTCCTTCACCACCCAAACCCACCCACACCCAGATCTTCCCCATTGACCGTTCCCCCCCCCCCCCCAACTGGGATTAAGAACTTGAAGAAGAAGAAGAAGAAGGTTCGGGGAGAGAGGGGGAGTCCCGACCCTCTGCGTCACTTGTGACCGCGACATCCACTCCGCCAACCCTTAGCCGACGCCACAAGCAAGTCCCGGTCATGCCCTTCTATGACTCGGTGAACTCGGCCACCGATTCCGTCCCCGCTGTCAACTTCGTTGTCAACTTCCTCGATGACCGTTACTTCTCCTACGTTGACGAAGAGATCAAGGCGAGGAGGGAGACGTCGAGCGGTCACGCTCCCCGATTTAAGAGGGAAGAGATCGAGATCGACAGGAGAGAGAGGGAGAGTCCCGACCCTTTGCGTCACCTGCGACCGCGAGAGTGGGGTTGTGAAGGAAGGTTTGGGTTGGGGGGGCCATGGGTAGACGGGAAGATCTGGGTGTGGGTGAGAAGGTGGGCAAGGGGGGATTTGGGGAAGACGATCTGGGTTTTGCTTCTTTTTTTTTCTTTTTTTTTTAACTTTTCTTTAAATAATTATTTTTTGGAATTTTTAATTTTTACGTGGACCCCTTAATGATACATGGTGTCTAGTCATTGTCCACATAGGCGTCACATCATCAGTTAACGGCAGAGTTAACAGTTTGACTAACGAATGCATGAGACTGTCCCAAAATTAACACTTTAAGTATGACTCTGGGACAAAAAAAACTTCATGTATCAAATGTTGAAAACCACGAAACTTAAGGGTAATAAACTCATACTTACCCTTAAATTTATAATTGTTTTAACATGTGAGTTGATCCTTACTTTTTAATTTGCTTTGGAAATGGGGTAAGATCTGGTTGGTTTAAGACAACTGTTAACATGTTATTGTAGAATATATTATACCAAGGATTAAACAAATAGTTGTCACAGTGACATCAAACTTATAAGTTTGTAGCTATATAAGGACACTAATAAGTATTATGCACATAAGTAATATGAATATTTTTCTTTTTATTTCTCTCATGAGGAATTCCAATGCAAGGGCTTGTAGCTATAGTTTAAAAGAATTTATCTTACTCAAATCCTAAGTTTGATTCTAGAAGTTACTGAAATTTCAAAGACCATGTGGAATACGATAACAGATCGATGATACTATTTTTACTTTCAATGAATATTCAACTTTTTTCCTAAATAAAAAAAAAAAGACTTAACTAGTAACTACAGTTGGCATGGGCATGATCAGATAGATAACCTTAGGTCCCATGGTGACTTAACAGCATCCGCAAGCTCTTCGACACCATTGAGCATGAGGGCTTGGGCCTCCACCAATTTAATGTCTTTGCTTGCATAGTTTCTACTCTAAAATAGCCTACCACCAATCTGAAACACAAACCAAACCCACAAAAAAACACATCACACATAGTTCTTTGTAAGGGAGAAAGCTTTGCATTTCTTTAACCAATAGACCCTTTAAGCAAACAACCAAACACACCTGCTTGGTACAGTTCCTGGCAATCCTACTAACACAAAAAAGAATTAATAAGCCTACATAAGTAAGCAGACAAAAAAGTAGCACATAACACCTTTCTACAAACATCTGCTCCAGATAGACCATCCTTTGGATCCGTCTGAGTATAACCTGCCGACTTTGCTTCAACCACCACCTCACTAAAAGTGCGTCCTTCAGTGAAGTTGTTGAAGATAATACTCAAAGTCCCACTGCAACATCAAATGATAGAAGCAAGACTTGTGTTAAAAGTCATATGATGTGTGCATTTGCAGACATCAAGATTTTACATGCGCAAGAGAAAGCAATTTAGGAAATCAGTGTCTCACAGAGAGAAAGCAATCTCACACTTGCAATGACACTTCTTTTTAGTAGAGCTAAACTACAAAAGCACTCAGCAAGTTACGCCGTGAACAACCGAGGTTCGAATACATCTGCTCTACAATATAAACAAAAATTCGGAGGGATGTGCACCATTAATTCGATCCAAGATCTTAGAGTCCATCTAGTAATAAGTACTAACATAACTACGGAATGAAAAAATACAAAAATTTAAATCTCAAATTGTTTGCTGATCTTAAAAACAAAATCCATGCAACTGAACCTAACTAATACACAGCTCGCCCTGGACACAAAAGCTAAAAGTCACAGAATTTTATTAAGATTTATTTTCCTACGTTCTCGGCTACCAAACAATGGAACCCAGATCTGCTTCTCACTCAGATGACCAATGAACACCTATTTTTCAACTAAATAGGAAATTTTCCCACGAAACCAAAAGCTAGGAACTTTGAACAATGAAATTAAAGTTCAATTAAACCAATTTACAATCGGATGAGATGGAAAATTAGCTAATTAATTCGATTCGATCCTTTTATGGACCAATTTCCCAAATATTTCACGGAAAAAAAGAAGATTAATTAACGATTTAATCAAGAACAAACCTAGATATCTACAATATTCCATCGTCTGATCGAGTTTTGGACTTCACGTTTTTAGAAACAGCAGCCCAGATCGGAAAAACCCAGTAATCACACATATTTAACAGATCAAAAACAAAAATTAAAGAACGAAAAGAAAAGGTACGTAATTTACTCAAACCCACAAAATTAAAATTAATTAAAGCATAATCAGGCTAAAGATTCAAAATTTACAATGTAAAAACCCAAATTAAACATAAAATTCAAAATTCACGACGCAACAACCCGAATTAAACAGAAAATCAAGGTCCTTTCAGAAACATAAGCTTAAGAAGGCGAAAATCTGAAACCTTTCGAAAGCGCAGAAATAGAGAGAAAAAAGAATTGGGGTAAAAGTTGGGAAATTAACCAGAGGGATTTAGGTGGAGGCGTCGAGAAGAGGCGATCAGCAAGGCGGATTGAAGCTCGAAGGGCCGAGATTGGACTCTCCGGCAGTGGCGAGATCTAGGGTTTTTCCACAGAGAGAGAGGGAAACCTAGATTGGCAAAATAGGGACCTTGATTCGAAGAGAAATGGTGAAGCCCTAAATCGAGCTGCTTGGTCCAGAGAAGAGTGAGGCGAGGAGGGAGACGGGGAGAGCAGGAGTCAAGCAGAGAAAAGGTGGCTCTAGAGTCTGGAACGGTGGGGGAAGTATCTAGAGAAAAGGTGGATAAAAAGGTGTGGGAAGGAAGGGCAAACTCGAAATAACAAAAAAGAAGCAGGGGCAAAAAGGGAAGCACAGTTAATGAACAGTAACTTTTTGTTTTGGGTTTTAGTATATGTATAATTAGTAATGGTGTCCGTGCAATGCTGCAGATGTAAAATTGAACATGTATTTACAACCAACAACAATTCCTATGAAATTTATGAAATCATAAGTTAGAACATACCTTGTAATTTGTGCAAGATGGAATCAATTTTTATAAGGTGCTGGAAAAATTAAGTTGGAACCTGTTATGGAAGAACATTTCAATCAGATGGACAAAAGCAGAAATGCTGAAACAAATGAGCAACATAAAGTATGTATGAATTATATTACTGTTTTCATTGTTGTCACGTTTTGGTTGCTTAAGGTGTAACAAAAGATTAAGCAATTATATCCATACATGATTCAGGTTTATATATTAGTGTTGAACTAATGAATATAAATTGAGATAACGAACGGAAAAGTAAGCAAAAATCTGTTTTGTAGAATACAAATTTGTTGATAATTTGTGCTTGAATAATGCTAAATCTGCTATTTAACAATAAGTTAACAGGCTTTTTAAATTTTGATGTAAACCTTTGCTAACATGAGAAAAATGTATAACAAAATAAATATGATAAAAAAAAGGAAGAAAATTAGACAATACGATTTCCACGAATTTAAAATTGTAAAAATTTTGTTGAAAAAAGATATGCAAGTGAATTACGTGTTGTGTACAAACTGCTCTTTTTTCATAAACTTGGTATCAAAGTAAACTTTCATTCAATGCTTCAAGTGTCTCATCATTGTAGTAACGTGAATGATTTAGGAAAGTTGTGAATAAAATGAAGTAAAATGAATACTATATTTTATAGTCAAATAAAAATGTGACAATATGGTGTGAAAATATGTGAAAAACAATTTTATGCTGTTTTTATTGTAAGAATAGTAATAAATGATATGCATAGATGGATCAGATAAGGATCACTTGGTGTCTTTGTGTAAGACAGAGATATAATTTACTAAATCATTTGAGCTTGCATTATTTTAAGCATTATCATCATTTCCATCTCTTCTCTTCAGAGGAATTAGTTGTTGCCAATTTATAGACAAACAGTTTTTTCTTTTGATTTGTTAGAAACATGTGATTAATTACTTGATTATTCCTTGAGGGGCTTAAGATGGACATCCAGAAGTGTGAATCTAAATCTTTTAACCATGGATTCATTGTCTCCTTATTCTTTAATCAAACAAAAAAACATGATATGAACATGGAAATTGTTTAGGGAGTTTTAATGAAAAACCGGCGGTATTGTTCACTTTAACGAAAAACCACATTTTTACACTAAAAAGTCAATCATGGTACTATTCACTTTACCCTTTATTTTGTCATTATTATTAAAACTCAAAGTTTTCAAGCTCTTTTCATTAGTTTTCCTAATTGTTTAATCTATTTAATGAATAATAAGAAATTTAGATAGATAGATTTAACAATTTCCTTATTCTTGTGTTATTCTTTGGTTCAATCAAACTGAGCGAGGTGGGTAAATTTTTGGTTATAACATCTTTGACAATAGTTTTGGATGTCAAACTTAACCCATTAGGGGGTGATTAAGTGATTAATCATGTGTTAAGACTAGGTAAAAAGCTAACACTGCGTATATATATCGGTAACAACCAATTCTTCTGAAAAGAAAAGTTAGTAAAAATTTATTTAATTGTAAAACATTAATGGAAAAAATCAATAAATTATAAATTTTTAACATACGATTGGTTGTTGAGACAAATGTACCTTCGTAAGAAACAAAGTAGATGGTTGATCGAGGAGATGTGCGAGGCATGAAGAGGCAGACTGCTGGGAAGGTAAAAGAAAGGAAAGAGGACAAAAATTGTTGTTTTGATTACCTGATTTGCACAAAAAAAAGAAATTGGTAAATATATTTTTTCAGTAAATATAGTACATCTATATATATGTTTTATAAATTATAACATAATGGTTAGACACGTATTAGGTAAAATTAGTAGTTTTTATTTTACATGAGTTGTGTAAACGTAGAAAAGTATTGTGAATATTTAAAATGTATACGTGTTTTTTAAGTATGGCTTGAACGATTTTGTAAGAAATGTTTTTGTCCTATAGTGTTTTGACAAAGAAATTTATTGGATGATGCAAAACCAAATACGAAAATTGTTTAAAACAATAAGAAACATAATATTTGCATCAGACCAAAAAAGAAATTGTTTATTGGATTGGAATAAAACAGAACAATTTTTAACGTTGGCAAAATAAGATGAAGAGTAGTAGTAAAAATAATATGAGTTAAAGCATATTACCTACTGAAACTTGTACTGTTGACATTGTTTATCCTATATATACAATCAACAAATAAGTACAACGGTTAAGAGTGATTTAAAAACCGAAGTCAAACATCATTATATAGATATTTGAATGCATTGAATAAATATATAGCTATTTTGGATATGGGAAAATTAAATTAAGAATTTGATTCCAAATTTTGGAGAACATCTTTAAATACTATATTAGCAGTATAATTTTTAACGTTGTTTTCTCCATCTGTTATTAAAATTTTGAGACATTTTTTTGATGTGACTCTAGATAATGCAACATATAATTGACCATGAGTAAAAACTGGTTCAAGAAGATATAAACCAACATGTTTCAAAGATTGTCCTTGACTTTTGTTAATAGTCAATGCATAAAATGGTCTAATTGGGAATTGTCTCCTTTTAAAAACAAAAGGTCACTTACTCTCAGTTGCTGTAAGAGTGATTCTTGGTATAAAAACTTTGTAACCAATATTATGTCCAGTAAGTATTTTGGCTTCAATAATTCTATCAAATAATTGAGTAATAATTAATCTAGTTCCATTACACAAACCCAAAGATTGATTCAAATTTCGTAATAATATAACTGGCATTCCTATTTTCGAAGTCAAGTTATGTGTAGGTAAACCATTGAAATCTAGTTTGTTCAAAAATTCAACAGGATATGATGCCTCCAAATTTTCAATATTCCCGCTAGAAGAACATAAAGAATCATAACTGAGAAACACATGTTGTTGTCCAGGTAGCAAATCAATTATATGATTATTTATGTTTGTAACAGTTGTGTTTCGAGGTGTTATAATAGCACGCTCCCTTAAATAATCAAAATTGTTATAAAAAATTTCAAAATTGGGATAAATTGCGAAAAAGATTCCAGAAGAATGAATTATTAAATCTTCAATTATTCCAATCAAAGATGTGTCTTTATCATTAAAATTATTTTCATTACTTATATCACAAAATTTTCCATCTCCTATTTATAAAATCCAATTTGCGAAATCACTGATTTTTTGCCTTTGTTCAATGCTTATTCCATTTTTTGATAATCTCATATTCTCTTTTAAATGATTTTTTTTTAAATGTGGCCACAAATAAGCACTATTTAAAGAAACATTTATTATATCTTCCTTGGTTCCTCCAGGTATAACAGGTAATATTTGGCGAAAATCACTACCTAATAAAAAAGGTTCGCCACCAAAGGGGATATTGTTTTTTGTACCATGTAAATATGACACAAGATCAGAAAGTGATTTATCCAAAGCCTCAAAGCAATGTTTATGATTCATAGGTGCTTCATCCCATATAATTAATTATGCTTTTCAATTAATTTTGCAAGGTGTGTGTGTGTGCGTGTTTTTTATTGCACAAATTGAATAATCAGTAATAACCAAAGGTATTTTAAATCTGGAATAAGCTGCTCTGCCACTTGGTAATAACAATGATGCTATTCCTGATGATGCAACTGTTAAAACAATTTTTCCTTCAGATCTAAGTCTATGATAACTTCCCATAAAAAGGTTTTTCCTGTACCTCCATGGCCATGGACAAAAAATAGGCCTTGTGTTTTTTTATGTACAGTATCTATAACAGCATCATAGATATGTTTTTTATCTTGGTTAAGTTGCAGTTTTAAAACAACATGTTTTTTTGACAATTCTTCACGATCATAATTTAACTCTTCTCTTAAAAGTTTATTTTTAATTTCTAGCATTCTACTTGATCAGGCATAGGTAAATGATATTTGTCCAGAGAAGTAAATGCATTGTTAAAAAGCAATTCTAGTTCAAATAGGACATAATTTTTTAATTTATCATGTGGTATAACCATATTAGGGATCGCAAAAGTTTTTCGTAATTTGTATAAAATATCATCATACATATTTTGCCAATGTTTATAAAAAATAATTTGAGGATTTGCTACATCACAAAACAAAATTATTGTAACAAATAATTGTCTCAATTGAGCAGATGATGTTGCATTGATATCATTTAATAAAGCTTCAATTCATTCTTTATCATCACCTAATAATCTTAATGATTGACACGCATATTGGTATGAAACATGTACAATACCATTAATAGTTTTGATATCATCAAAGCTAAAAGCAGCTTTTTTCAAATTTAAAAGCATTCTTAAGTAATATAATTCACCAGATGCAGGATGCACATATGCTATTCTACTTATTGAACCTTTTTGTTTTCTTGGTTTCCAAATATTTTTCCGTGTATCGTATAAAATTTTTTATGGAAATTGAGCATAAGTTAGTGAACGTGCTTCATTATAAATTTTATTAGTTTCAAACCAATTTGTTAACATTGTATGATTAGAAGCATTTTGATTGATAATTGATTGTAGTGATTGATCAGCACTGAAACAATATTTTGCTCTAATGGTAAATGCACTGGTAATCGCTCAATAGAAAGTTCTCTATGATGTATGGGATACTGAAACAATCTCCAAACAGCTTCATAAGGTGATATATATCTACAATTTAGATAAGTTAATATTTCATCATTTGAATTTTGTTGTAAAACTAACCGTGCTCTATCTGAACCTTTACTCACATATTTGAACAAATATTTTATAAGCATTGATTGACAACAAATTTCGACATTTATATAAGCATTATATCTTGAAAGCAATTCAGGATTATAAAGAACCACAAAACTGTCATCAATTTTGACTCCATTTTTTATAACAAATTTTGTGTCAT